TCCAGTTTGGAGAATATCTCAGGCCAAATCAGTAAATTATGGTTTGGGAAATTCTAAAACCAAACCAAACTGTTTTGGCATAGAAATCAAACCAAACCAAACCTTTTTATTACGGTTTGGTGCAGTTTCTAATATGGTTTAGGGACAATTTAAATCAATTTCTTGTTGACAATTTAAATATATACAATGTATACCAAAACCAAAAAAAAACTTAACAACAATGTAAAACAATCAATTAAATAAATGTAGTAGAAAATCAAAACATGAATAAAAACATTTTCATATAAACATCTTATTTAGCATTCTAATGCCTAAAACATGCATATATAAACATATAATTAAAAAGTAAATAAATACTAAATTTTTTGTCCAAAATTCTTGGTCTTGTACAATGTATTTCCAATTTTCTAGAGTTCTAGACTTCCAATTCTGGTTCCTATACATAGTTGAACACTGATCAGAGAAGGGATAAAGGGGTTAGGGCTTTTATTTTCCAAACAATATAAGAGAGGAGATGGTGGGACTATCGGTAGTGAGTCGACGACAATGGTGGGACTGTTGGACTAGGGTGGGGAAGATATGGTTCGGTTGAACAGAGGATTTCCTGCTTCTTGGGTTAGGGTGTTTTGTAAAGATTGGAAGAGAGAGAAAGGGGTGCAACGTCAACGGTAGATTTGTCAGCGGTAAGTTGACGAAATTGGTGGAGCGACAACAAGGGTTAGGGTTTTGTTTGTTTTAATCTTTTAGATAATGAGAGAGAGAGAGAAGGAGAGTGGACAGACTTTGGACGGTGAACGACGAAGGTGATGTATAACCGCGGCGATGGGCAACAGCAAACGGCTATGTGTAAGAGGGAAGGCTGTGGCTGATGTCTCTGGTTCAGTGGTTCTTATAGTTTTAGGAAGAATATTGAATGAAAGGGGAGAACTGAGAAGGGTATCGAATAGAAGAGAGAGAATGTTAAAATTAAAATTTAAAAATTAATTTATATATATTTATATATAACTTATATATTTGATATATATATATATAATTATATATTATACTACATTAATACAATTTACGGTTTGGTTTGGTGCGTTTTACAATTTGAACCATACAATGAACGCCCCTAGTAAACATCACTTCTAGAATAGCTTTTTTTTTATTACTTTTCTCCTATATAAAGATTCCTGAATTCCTGGTCCAATTGTTGGTATCCCTTATGCATCTTCACATTAATTTTCCCCTTTTTTAGCCTATTGAAAAAAAAAGTAGAGGCAAATAAGTTTTACATATTTGGCAATAGAATACAACTATACCCAAATAAAAAAAAAAAAACCATTGCCAAATACCTTTAACAAAGTTGTAGGAAATTAGTAAGTAATTGCAATTCTCACCATCAGCCTTACAAAGAATACACTAATGACGGGATAAACAACTCTTAGGTCTCTTGTTTTTAAAGCAAATCACATGTGTTTATTCTTTCTAGGAATGCTTTCCAACAAAAATTTCCAATCCTAGGTGCAATAGGTTTACATGATACCTCTTTTGTAGGAAAAGACAATCCCCTGCTAACATCCAGTTGGTTAAAGGCTTTGAAAAAGGAAGCAAGGTGAATGAACCAAGGGAGAAAGGGTCCAAATCTTGTTACCAAGCTTAGTGGGACCCAAGAAAAAACAATTAAGAATGCCCATTAGAATCATGGTACTATTTTACTTTGTATCCCTAATAGCCCTACTGAATCCCAAAACCTGGCCAAAGTCAATACTCAAATTGGAAGGTACCACAAAAGTAGAAATAAGATCATTCTTACGATTAGAAAAGACAAACAACGATGGAAATTGATCCCCCAATGGGCAGTTCCCAAACCAAACCTATTTCCAAAGCTTAATATGATTACCGAAATGCAAACCATACTTGATCTAAGGCAAGAACAAGGGAAGAATAGCTTGGATGGCTTTCTGTGAGGAAGCTCTTGTAGTCCCAACCAGAATTCCAGCATCTCATCCATTATCCGCCAGCCCATGAATGCTTACCACTACATTAACCCACAACTTTTCTTCCTCTATCAGAAGCCTCACAACCACTTACCCAATAGAGCCAAATTTCTCTTTTGAACATTTCTAATGTCAAGACTTCCAAACTTTATTTCTGCTCACCACTTCCCATTTAACCCTATGATCTTTTTTTTTTCCTCCTTTGGCTCCAAAGAATATCCCTCGTTAGTTTCTCCAACTTCCTAGCTCCCCTTATGGAATTTTAAATGTCAAAAAATAACATATAAGCAAATTAGCTAGGGTAGATCTAATTAGGGTGATTCTCTCTCAATGAAAAGTAGATTTTCTTCTAAGAAGCAAGGATTTTTTCAAATCTTTCAACAACAAGATTTCAAAAGCTTATTTTTTTTAGGAATATCTCATAGAGGTAGTCCCAAGTAATTCAAAGGTTAATTGGAAACTACACCTCATAAGATTGCTACACTCTAAAGTCTTCCCCCCCCCCCCCAAATTAATTCCCACTATACAATTTTCTCAAAATTTTCTATTAAATTTGGCATTTGCTTGAAATGTTGTATAGTAAATTTCAAATTCTTAATCCATCTCAAGTCACCTCCTTCACAAAAGAGAATTATATCATCTACAAATGGTGAGTAATTGGTACCCTTTCCCTACTAACTCTCCAACCTCTTATTAAATTTCTCGAATCTGCTATTGATATCAACCTCCCTAGGACATTTTCTACTAAGGTAAACAAGAAAGGAGAGAGAGGATTTCCTTGTCTAATACCTCAAGAAAAAATCCACTACTATCTCATTCACCAAAATAGAATAATGACATGTCTTAATATATCCCATCACCCATTTGCACCATCCTTCTCTAAACCTAAAGCTAACCATTACCTCCCTTTGAAAAGACCTATCCACTAAGTTGTATGTTTTTCTACATCAAGTTTGCACACCACTCCTTTTTTTCCTAAGTTCTTTAACCACACTTTTGTTTGTTATTAAAATTTGATCAACTATTTATCTTTCTTGCACAAAAGCCCCTTGATTAGGTGTAATAATTGTGGGAAGAACGTGTCTAATCCTAAGAGAAAACATCTTAGCTATAATTTTATATAGGTTATTCACCAAGTTGATTGGCCTAAAGTGTCTCGGATAGGTAGCATCAATTTTCTTTGGGACCAATACAATAAAAGTGGAATTCAAACTCAAATTAATTACTCCTCTCCTATAAGTCTCATAAAAAACTAACAAAATGCCATCTTTCAATATGTCCTAACAATCTTGGTATAAAACCATTTAGAAGCCATGTGGCCCAGGTGCTTTTGATCTATCCATAGAAAACATTGCTTCTTTCCAACCAACCCATGAGCTTAGTTTATGTTGTTAGCCTGTTATTAGAGTAACAATGTTGTTAGGATGTTCTTTTCTTGGAGTTTTTATATTCTTTTCATAGTGTGGGCCACCAGGGGTAGAATTGTAATTGTAGTGCTTATATTTGATCAGCCTAGTATAAATAAAGCATGGGGTGCCACCACCCAAATTTTTGGCACTCTAAAATGTTTTCTCTCTTCCCTTTCTCTTATCTTCTTTTCATTGTACGACCAGATCATGAATGAAAACATGGTATTAGAGTTAATCATGAGAGGTACTAAGAGCATTCAGATCTTTGTTTTTTCACCTAGAATTCTCTTTCTTTTGGACTATGGAGTACATGACCCTAATTGGATGAGCTGGTTGCAACACCAAGGAGAATAGGTGGTAACAATTAGATGTAGTAGGGGTGACCCATAGTTTTCAAGGTGTCAAGGGAAGGCTAGGTGACAGGGGGTGTCTTGTCACCTAGTCACCTAGGTGCTTGCTTAGGCAATGAATTTTTTTAAATAAAAAACATATATCCTTGAGTA